TCAGCCAGTTTGGCCCGTCAGCAATTTGATGAGATTCTTTTGGTGAATGTGACTGGCCTCCAGCAACAGGAGGATGAGGGGGTCTGTGCTCCTCTCCCAAACCTCCCTGAAAGATCATTAAAATGAAAGCGAGTCTCATCCCAAATTCATGCCAAGTGAACCAGGACAAGCAGAGGCTCCTGGCTCCTGGAGGGATTGCGCTTCCCCCCGCCCCGAAGCAGAGGCCATTAAACACCCACGGACTACTCTAGAGAGCACATTTTGAGATGGAAACAGAGAAAAGGGAGTAACCCAGCAGCCAGCCAGGATGGCAAGGTACCTTCTTGCTAGCTGCAGGACTGTCTTCAGGACTGTCTTCCCGAAGAGCAGGGCCAACAGAAGTTCACTCAGCTGGACTCCCAAGTCTTTGGACCTGAACCTTGATTCCAGGGAGACACGAAGTTCTGGGCCTCATCTGATACATTCCCTACCCCACCCAAGACCCCGAATCAGGCTGGGTCAAGGGCTCCCTGGCTCCTTTCCCTAGAGAAGGGTATCTAGGGCCCACAACCTGGCCACTGGGTGGGCTCCCTAAATGACTGGACGAGTCACTATTTCTTTACTTTTCACTGGACAGAGACTAGGATTTCATACAGATACTGGCGGTCACAAACCAGGACTACAGGGTGTTGATTTAACCTTATCTATTTTACTTTATATCTTCATTCTTCCATGCCAAAAATCCAGGGTCATGACACCAAAATAGTTACTCATTTTCTATTACCACCAGTAAGGACGACTGAAAGAAGGTGAGGATTTTTAACTTTTTTTTCTAACTTTTTTCCCCTGTATATTCCACTAAGGGATATTCAGATAACTGTGCTGCAAAGTCACTTGGAATAGTTCCTGCGGACACACCAGTGACTGGATGCACAGTTAAGTCCACTGGTTTCATTTTACTTTCAATCTTCAGTCATTTCTTTTAAATATGATTTTGCTTTATAATCATGCCAAATATTTACAGGATTCCCCAATTAGATCAACACAAAGGTTGGTTCAGGGAAGTCCAGCGTCAAGCTCTGCCTCTTCCGTCCCGTGCCTCCCTCCTCCTACACAGTAACACTCCTTATCTCACGGTTTAGCTTCCTGCTGTCCTAGTCGCCTACCTGTTTACATTTAGGTAGTTAGGAGGGTTTGTATTGTAATGGTTACCATATGTATCTTTATGTAATGTCCTTAGTCTTTTTTCTCAGCAGCTGTATGATCGAAAATGAAATTTCCCCCACTTCTGACATAAACATTGTTTTGACAGATTCTTTTCATATAGATGTTACAGCCTCCCAATTTTTGACAGATGTACCTACGTGGTCAGAGCATGCACCCATTATATGCCACAGTATATCCCCTTTCAACCGTCACCTAGTCTTAGTTCTGCAATGAATGATGTCCGGTGCTCCCTAGTGGCTCTTATGCTGACCTCTTTGACATGTTTGGTGGTCTGGCTTTTTCTCCAGCAGATTCCCCATGAAGGGTTTGTTGAGACACATTCCCCAAGGACCTGCATGTTCAAACATGCTTCTTTGTGGCCTTTATGCCTCAGAGCTCCTTGCCAGCTAGTTGCACGTTCCTCTTTGGCAACAGTCCAGCACTGCAGGGACACACAAAGGGAGAAGCGCAGAACATTCATCCCTTTCAGCTTTTCGCTTCACTTTTTGTTCACAGAGGAACCCAGCAGCCCTGGGAGCTCCAGGACATCTCTGCGCTGTGGGGCCCAGGTCCAGTCTTGGTGTTGGAGAGGCTCTCCTGAGTCCTCGGTTCCTTTGCTGTCCAATCTGATGGAAAGCAGTTAATTCATTACATTAAATTTTCTCTTTTCTGTCTCCTGATAGGCCAGAGTATCTTCAGAAAATGAAAATGCCTTGTATACTCCACACCATGTGTTCCCCTGAGGTGGCTGACTTCCTGGCTTCATTGAACACAAGGCCCTTTCCATGCCTTTCAACAGGCCAGCAGCAAGTGGACGGGAACAGCTGAGCGCCCAGGGGTGTCCCGTGCTCTTCTGCGCAGCCCGCCTCCTGCAGCGCTTTCCCCTCGGCACATTCATTCACTCTACGACTTACCGCTGCACTTACGCAAAACTGCAGGTTTCTTTTCTTCTGATCCCCGTGTTTTGAGGCCTTACAGTTAGGAGGGAAATGTTTAAATTCTTTGGGACAGTCAAGTTTTTAGAAGGTTTAAAGCAATTTAAAAATTGTAGGTTCTAGCCAAGATAGAGGCATAGGTAGAAACACTTCACTTCCTCACACAGCCAAAAGAATAACAACCAATTAAAAAAAAAAACAACAACAAAAAAACAACCAGAACTGCCAGAAAAATCAGACTGCATGGAAGTCTGACAACCAAGGAGTTGGAGAAAACATTCATCCGGACCAGTAGGCAGGGCAAAGATGGGCAGCCAGGGTGGAGAGGACCTGTACCCAGGCCACAGCTGGTGGAAGGGATTTCCTACATTCAAAGGCAGATAAGCTGGGAAGAACAAATGGGAAGCAAGACAGACCACGCAACCCATGGTTCCATCGTGGAGAAACTAAAGCCTCAAAACCTCTGGATGTACAAACCTGTGGGGGTTGCAGCTATCAGAGAAATCCCCAGTCTCATAGGTGAGTCCATTGGAGAGACCCACAGGGTCCTAGAATGTACACAAGCCCACCCACCTGGGAATCAGCAGCTGAAATGACACAGTCTGCTTGTGGGAAGCAAGGGAAGTGACAGAAAGTGGGGCAAGAACCGAGCAAGTGGCATTGTTCCCTCTGTGACCCCTCTTCCACATACAGCTCTACAACACAGAGACCTGGGTTGCTCCATCCTGGTGAACACCTAAGGTTCCTCCCCTTACAGTGTAACAGGTGCATTGAGACAAAGAAATACAGCCCAAATGGAAGATCAAAACTCCAGAAAAAGAACTAAGTGATAAGGAGATAGCTTATCAGATGCAGAGTTCAAAACACTGGTGATCAGGATGCTCACAGAAATTATTGAGTTTGGTCACAAAATGAAGAAATTAAGGCTATTCAAAGTAAAATAAAGGAAAATATACAGGGAACCAATAATGAAGGGAAAGAAACAAGGACTCAAATCAACAATTTGGAACAAAAGGAAGAAATAAATATTCAACCAGAACGGAATGAAGAAATAAGAATTTTTAAAAAATGAGAAGAGGCTGAGAACATCTGGGACAACTTTAAACATTCCAACATCCAAACCATAGGGGTGCCAGAAGGAGAAGAGGAAGAGCAAAAAATTGAAAACTTATCTGAAAACATAATGAAGGAGAACTTTCCCAATCTGGCAAAGGAATTAGACATGCAAGTTCAAGATGCTCAGAGAGTTCCAAAGAAGTTGCATCCAAGAAGAAACACACCAAGACACATCATAATTACATTACCCAAGATTCAAGATAAGGAGAGAATCTTAAAAGTATCAAGAGGAAAGGAGAGTGTTATCTACAAAGGAGTTCCCATAAGACTATCAGTGGATTTCTCAAAAGAAACCCTGCAGGTAAGAAGGGGCTAGAAAGAAGCATTCAAAGTCATGAAAGGCAGGGAGCTACATCTAAGATTACTCTATCCAGCAAAGCTATCATTTAGAGTGGAAGAGCAGATAAAGTGCTTCCCAGATAAGTTAAAGTTAAAGAAGTTCATCATCACCAAGCCATTATTATATGAAGCGTTAAAGGGACTTATAGAAGAAAAAGAAGATCAAAACTACAAACAATAAAATGACAACAAACTCACAACTATCTACAACTGAACCTAAGAAACAAAAACAAAAACTGAGCAAACAACTAAAACAGGAACAGAATCACAGAAATTGAGCTCACATGGAGGGTTATCAGTGAGCAGAGAGAGAATGGGGGGAAAAGGTACAGGGAATAAGAAGCGTAATTGGTAGGCATAAAATAGACAGGGGCAGGTTAAGAATAGTATAGGAAATGGAGAAGCCACAGAACTTATATGTACAACCCATAGACATGAACTAAGGGGTGGGGAATGCTGGAGGGTGGGGTGGTGCAGGGAAGAGAGGGATAAAGGAGAGAAAAAACAGGACAACTTAATAGCATAATCAATAAAATATACTTTAAAAAGAAAAAAAAGGGCAATCAGAAACTATTAGAAGTTTTAAGCAGGAAAAAAATTGTAAAAGCTTTTAAAAACTCTAAAAGCTACTTGTAAATTTATGAATAATCTCTATGTGTTGTCTATTTACTGGGAGGGTGACCAAAAAAAAAGTCCAGACAAATGATCATCTCAAATAAGGACATTTAGTAGTGAAATGAAAACATCCTTTAAACATCTCAGTGCAAAAAACAACTCTTTCAGATAACAGGAAAACAGTTGGGCCATGCAAAACATGGCCATTAGTTAACTTTGGGTTTTCATGAGTCTTGGAACACTGATAACATTGATTGGCATGGTGGCCAATGTGCAGAGAAACAATAAGCCAAACCATTTCCAAGCTCTCAGAAAAATTACCCAAGATGAATGTATTTCCTTACATTGAGTGTTCTACTGGTTCTAATGTTGTGTGTAAGACTGTATAAGAGGAATGCAAGTAAAGGATTTGGATGCTTACTCCTGTTCAGTGGATTGATAGTTTGTCCAGTTTGCTTCATGGCCATGGCTGCCCTTTGAGCAACACGAGTTCCTAGGTCCGCCTTTCCCAGACAAGACCTAGATTCACCGAAGATGCTCTTCCCGGCCAGTCTTAGGTGCACCCCCAGGGAGTAAAGAGCATCTTTGTCCTGCTGGTCAAGTGTCCAGTGAAGAAAAAGGACAGCCATTTTTAAACTGCCCATCCCCCTCCATACTCTGTAGCTTCCAAAGAGATGGCCTTACTCAACTAGATCATTTTACTGCTGGAAATGATTTGCCTTTAAGGTTCTTACAAGAACATAATGAAGAGCAATCATTAAATAGACCCTGCCCACCCCACCCCCCCCCCGCCCCAGATGCACTGGTCACATTCCATTACCACAAAAACTCACATAATGTATGCATGTGGTTAATGACAGGTTGTAATTGGTGCCAAGTTTTTAAAAAGCACTCTTTTGACATTAAAATGTGTTCTTCTCTGTATTAGTGCCATATCTTCTGAGTTTTCTGTTTGAGGTTTTTTAAATTTTCCTCTGTGGAATTAAGAAATCCACAAGTCCTATCATGCCATTCTTTCTAGAAGCTCTAAAATAGAAACAGATAAAGACACGTATTAGTAATTTCTCACAATACAATACTAATTTTATGAAACAATATGAGTTAGTATAATTTAAATATAATTTAAATGCAATATAATTTTAAAATTTTACCTTAAAATTATTTATGATCTCTAATCAGTAATTCTTACCTCAAAAATTAAAGCATCCTATTTTTTATTTAAAAAATTGGCATTTATTTCTAGGCAAAAAAATCAGTACTAGTCCTAACAACAGCAATCAGACAATAAAAAGAAATAAAAGGCATCCAAATTGGAAAGGAGGAAGGAAAACTTTGCAGATGTCATTGTTTGCAGATGGTATGATAGTGTACATAGAAAATCCTATAGACTCCACCAAAAAAACTACTCAACCTAATAAGTAAATTTGGCAAAACAGGAGGATACAAAATCAATATTCAGAAGGCATTTTTTGTACAACAATGAAATATCAGACACAGAAATCAGGAAAAAAAATCCCATTTGATATAGCAACAAGAAAAATAAAGGACCTCGGTTAGGAATAAACCTAACCAAGGAGGTAAAAGACCTGTACTCAGAAAACTACACAACCATGAAGAAAGAAATTAAGGAAGACACAAACAAATGGAAGCATGTATTGTGTTCATGGGTCGGAAGAATTAACATCATCAAAATGTCCATACTACCCAAAGCAATTTATAGATTCAATAAAATCTTCATTAAAATACCAATGAAATATTTCACAGATAACAAACATTTCAAAAATTTGTATGGAACCATACATGACCCCAAATAGCAACAGCAATTTTAAGAACAAAGGAGGAGGGATCACAATACCTGATATCAAACTATATTACAAGGCCACTGTAATCAAAACAGCCTGGCACTGGCATAAGAACAGATGCATAGATCAATGGAACAGGATAGAGACCTCAGAAACAAACCCATGTCTCTATGGTCAATTAATATTTGACAAAGGGGACAGAAGTATAAAATGGAATAAAAATAGCCTCTTCAACAAATGGTGTTGAGAGATCTAGAAAACTACATACAAAAAAAATGAAACTCAACCACCAACTTACATCATATACAAAAATGAACTCAAGATGGATAAAAGACCTAAATATAAGTTGTGACACCATAAAAGTCCTAGAGGAGAACACAGGCAGGAAAATCTCAGATACTCCACACAGCAATATTTTCACCAATATGTCCCCTAGAGCTAGGGACATAAAGGAAAGAAGAAACAAATGGGATCTCATCAAAATAAAAAGCTTCTGCATGGCTAAAGAAAACATCAGGAATATGAAAAGGGAACCAACCATATGGGAAAATATATTTGCCAATGATACCTCAGATAAGGGTTTGATCTCCAAAATATATAAAGAACTCACATGACTCCACTCCAGGAAGACAACCCAATTAAAAAATGGGCAAAGGACCTGAACAGACATTTGTCCAAGGAGGACATACAGACAGCCCAGAGACATATGAAAAGATGCTCAGCATCACTCAGCAGAGATGCAAATTAAAGCCACAATGAGACACCACTTCACACCAGTCAGAATGGCCATCATAACCAAATCAGCAAACAAGTGCTGATGAGGTTGTGCAGGAAAGGGAACCCTAGTACGTTGTTGGTGGGATTGCAGACTGGTGCAGCCACTGTGGAAAATAGTATGGAATTTCCTCAGAAAACTGAAAATGGAACTGCCTTTTGACCCAGCAATTCCACTGCTGGGACTATATGAATCCTGAAACACCAATCCCAAAGAACCTCTGCACCCCAATGTTCATAGCAGCACAATTTACAATAGCCAAGTGCTGGAAGCAACCTAAGTGCCCATCAGTAAATGAGTGGATCAAAAAACTGTGGTATATTTACACAATGGAATTCTAGGCAGCAGAAAGAAAGAACTCCTACCTTTTGTGACAGCATGGATGGAACTGGAAAGCATAATGCTAAGTGAAATAAGCCAGGCAGTGAAAGACAAATACCATGTGATCTCACCTTTAACAGGAACCTAATCAACAAAACAAACAAGCAAGCAAAATATAACAAGAGACATTGAAATTAAGAACAAACTGATAGTAACCAGAGGGGAGGTGGGAGGGGATAATGGGGAGAAAAGGAGGGAGGGTTGTCAGGAACATGTATAAAGGATACATGGACAAAGCCAAAGGGGAATAGGAATGAGGGTGGTGAAAAAACACAAATAAAAATTGAAAAAAAGGGAAGAAGAAAAACATTTTTCTTAATGTAATTTCATCATAGTTTTCTATCTCTTGGTGCTCCCATTGACTTGAATTTCAACCTTTTCTTTACTTAATAACGTACTAAATGGCATTTTTTTTTCTTGCCTTTACTAATCTCTCCCTTGTCTCAGTCACAGTGAAATCCTTTGCTTAAAGAGCTCCATGAAATTAAAAAGCAGCCATCTCAGGACTGTCCATGTTCGATTTTTGTGTCTTTGAGGTTTTGAGTGTTACCTGCCATGGAGATCATCCTGTTCATCTCTATTTTTGAAGATACTTATTTTTTTATTTTTGGTATTAAAAGTTTGCACTCTCATTTTAAGATGTTGAAAAATATAGAAAAGCATAAAAAAATGTTAAAGTAAGCCACAAGCCTGTTATCTGGCGATAGGCATGTTAACTTTTCAGTGTTTGTGCTCAGCTTTTATATGTGTCAGCTGAGCATAACTGAAATCAGGAGGCTTTGGTTAGAAAGGAATGACGAAGATTTTTTCAAGGGCCTTAGGGTTTGCACACCAGAAAAACATTTAGGCAATACCCAGTGCAGCAAAGAAGAAAGAGCAACTAAGAGTTCTTATGGGGAAATGTATATTCTTGAGAAGAATCAGTTCTGAATTCTTAGTCTCTGGATTGGTCTGAGATGGTAATCCTCTAAATGACTGTTGGCCTACATAATGGATTTCAGGCAGTCTAGATATGTGAACGTTCTTCCCTTAGTCCTGCGGGGGTAATCAGAGGTTTATCTGGAGGTTTCATGCATACATGTGCAGGCATTGATGTAGGACTGGCAAGTTCAAAGTTGAAGTTCCCAGGCTTGTTAAAACAGGGATAGAATTGTTTCTTCGTGCCCCAGCCTACTTGGGTGTTAGTTAACTTAGCAGCTTGACTATAGTAACTCTATTTTACTTCTTCTTCCTATTCTTCATGTCAGAAATTTATCTATAAAGAATCACCATGTAAATATTACTTTACCCCTTGCTTCTGAGCATTTTTCCATGTTACTAGCTATGCATTAAAAGTATTGAAATGTTGTTTACCTTTAAAATCAATATAAATCATACATTTGTACAAACTTAACACAGTATAGAAAGGTATAAAATGTAAATTAATCTTCTTAACCCTGAAAGATTATCACCATTAAAAATTGTTTGCCACTCTTCTGATAAAAGTGTTTCTAACTACACAAATGGGCTATTCTACTGTTCCGTATCTTGCATTTTATATTTACTGCTGTATCTTGAAGCACAACAAATCTGCCTCATTTTAACAACTTTATGGAATTCCCATGAATGGACATACCATATTTCACATGCATCCTTCTGACAAATATTTCTCACCTGTCTTTTGTTGTTGTTGTTGTTATTTCAAGTAATACTGCAATAAACTTTATTTTTTTAAATGCCAAAAAAATCAGCACTGTATTTAAAGATTTTTCTTTATTGACAACCCAGATTTTAATCACTAATTAACAAAGGTACCCTTCCATTTAAAAAGGTAGTTCAGTGAGAGTTAAAGAACTGTCTTAAGCCTATGAAGCTTTGGTACTGACAATAGAGTCTTTTGATTTTTCTATTTTTAGATATTCCTTGAACAACAGCAGACATGAGTAAACTTCTACTGTCGACATCAGTAGATACACTGTAAAAACACTGAACTATAACAATGTCAATGTGCAGTGTCAGTGGGAAAAATGAGACCTGTCTTTAGGGCTCACATTTTAAAAGTAAAAGGGGCACAGTTAGGAGTGGTTCTAAATCGTATTTTACTGTGAAAAGCAGCCATCTCCTACAGGCCCAAGGGAGTCACACTGTGGAGCAGTCTCACGTCACTGCTGAGAGAACAGCAGAGCATTGGAGAATGATGCCTGTCACCCTGGCCACTTGCCACCCTTCTCCTTAAGCCACGGCCAGGTGGAGTTCCTGTCCACAGCTCAGAAGCACCATTAACCAAGTGATGAGAGAAAATCACCAAGCGGAATTTTATGTGGGCTTACGCCTTAGGTGGAACACACCAGGCCAGGGTCCTTCTGGCAACGAGAGACTGCTGTAAACTTTCAGTGGCTTCCCGAGCCTCCCAGGCTAGGTCCTGGCAGTGCTACCCCACGGCCATGCCCCCGCCAACCCCGGGCATCTCGTCCAGCCAGGGCTCCCGGTTTTCCAGCCCAGCCAGGAGCGAGGAGGACACTGGTGGTGTCCCATGGCAGGCACGGTGGGGGAAGCTCTCTTCGAGGGCACAGACTGCCCCCCACCACTCGAGAGGAGGGAAGCGGGCTGAGGGGATGGACCCCAAGTCAGGTATGGGAGGCTGGTAGGTCTGGTGGTAGGAGGACGCCAGTCCCCATCCTGTGGCCTGTCAGTGGTGTGAAGGGCGGGCTCGGGGAGACTGGTGACATGCTGAGCAGGATGCAGATCGCCCTGGGCTCCAGGTTGGGCTGTGTCTGCTGAGGGCCTGGGGGCGGCCCCGGGAAGGCAGGAGGGGCTGCGGCACAGGTGCGGGAGAAAGAGGCCCAGGAGGGACTAAGGGAAGGGTGGCTGCAGAGAAGGAGACTGTGTGAGGCAAGATGGAGACCCAAGAGGGCAGAGTGTTGGGCCACCCAAGGGCCTGCTGGTGTCAGGAGTGACCGGGAGGGGAAGAAAGATCCGAGGAGCCACAAGGGAGTGCTTACGAAATTGGCAGATGACAGATGAGAGAAAAGACAGTGGACCATGGAGTCTGGAGGCACGGTCAGGTGCCAGGAGCCTCAGAGGGGATGTGATTTTGAAGGAGGGAGGAGAGGAAATGGCTTGGAAGGGGCAAAGACTGAGGGCTGTGGGGGTAGCCAGGGTTCTGTCGGGTAGGAAGTGAGGGAGGAGCTGGCCCAGGGCTCACTGGGGCATCCCAGATGTGGAAGGTTTGCAGGGAGTAGGAGGGGATGTGCGTCTGGGCAGTGATCGTGCACCTGCCAGGCGGGGCTCCTCAGGGGCCCACGGGGATGTACATCCTCCTAGTCCAGCCCCCATCCCTGGGCTCTCTGGTCCTCATGGCCCTGGAGCCCACCTGCTGTCTGGGGATCTATGCGTCTGGTGTCCCCAAGACTGCAGCCCCACGGGGCCCGGGGTGACCTGATCTGTGGACCGCATCCCTGGCACAGAGCAGGCACTCCGAGATCATGTGCTGGGCCAACAGCTCCTGACGGAAGGTGTGAGGCTGTGGGCACCGCCCGCAGGGCGCCTCTTCTATACAGCCACGGCCCCCAGTACTCGGGGGGAACAGGTAACCCCCACTGCCCCACCTGCCCTCCAGGCTGCTCTTCCTCTGCACACCCCTCACCAGCTAGCACAATATGGGGCACACAGTCGGCACCCCAAAAATGTTGCCAGAACAGAGGACGAGGCTGCGTCAGTGGGCCCAGCCACGCCCCCCACCTGCGGTACTCCGTTTCTGCGTTTCGTCGTTGAGAAATGAATTCTTTTCAACATGCGATGGTTTTAACCCACTTGACATACTATACTTAAGAATCAAGATAAATTTAGATAAACTTTTCTTAAAGACAGGACTAATTTTCTCCCTCTGAAGTCTGAAGAGAACAGAACCCCAGACTGCCCCGAATCCCGTGGAAAGAAAGCTGCCTCCTGCCGTAGCTTCCTTGGCACGACTTGGTGACATCTCCGTGTGAGCGCCTGTCCTTCCCATCACATCACAGCAAGATCGGCCGGGACCCAGGTGTCAGAGATAAGAGGTGGGAGAGGGGAAGACCTCTGATGGTCAATATGCCCCCCACACCCCAGAGGGCTACTTACGTGTTTTCCTTTAGAGAGTTAAGGTAGGCCTCCGTTTCCACAGCAGAGGCATCCGAGTCCAGGGACGACAGGTAACGGTAGACGTAACAGAAAGTCTCAAAGGGGATGCGTGCAGGGCCCCCCTCCTCATCTTTGGTCAGGATCTCACACACGTGCTTCATTGCACTATTCAAAGACTAGAAACCACAAATGGGGGTGGGGAGGGGTGGTAATTAATGCTTGGACTTCCCAAAACTGGCAGCAAAGACACTAGCAGAATAAATACTTGATTATATTTTACAGAAATTCTCCCAAAGTACACTATGTTCTTGATCTAAATTAAGGACCAGGTGAGTGTCTACTTGCCATAAAGAAAGAAATAAAAAGGAAAGGTTTCATCAGGGTGCAACTGGTCTGAAAAATTTTAACCCACCAATTTTATATTAAAATAGGAGTAACTTTTAAAATGGGAATATTGATCTCCTTAAAGATACACCTCCCACACCGCTGTCCATGTCCATGGGTGATGCGTGTATGTTCTTCGTCTAATCCCTTCACCTTCTTTCAACCTGTCCCATCCTCCCCCTTCCCTCTTACAGCTGCCAGTCTGTTCCTTGTTCCTGTACCTCTGGTTCTATTTTGCTCGTTAGTTTATTTTGTCCCTTAGATTCCAGCTACAAGTGAGATCATATGGTATTTGTCTTTCACTGCCTGGCTTATTTCACTTAGCATGATAGTCCCCAGGTCCAACCATGCTATCACCAAAGTTCTGGAAGAAGAAGTGCAGTATCATCATCATCATCACTATCTTCTTCAAAGTCTTCACCTTCCTCATCTGCGAGAGGACTGAGGTTCAAAAGTTGGCTGAGCTGCTGTCAGCTTTCATGATTCAGCAGCCCCTGCAGATCACAGACACCGAGATGACTCTGGGCTCCCAGAGCCCTCACATCTTTGTTTCTAAAGACGGGTCCAGGCTGGGCGCAGCGACTGCGTGAAAGGGAGAGGGAGGGACCTACTTTCATCTTGCGAGGTGCTGTTCTGTGGCTTCGTGTACATACACATTACCATTCCATAAAACAGAGTGACTGCTGTGGGGGGGGGACCGCAGGTTTTATGAACTGTAAGCTGCCGGGCTGATGACTTGATCCTCGTGGCAGTGTGAGCGATAACTGCGTAAGAGAATTTGTGATAGAAGTACTAGGATACATACCACTCCGAAAGCAGAAACAAAGACTCAATTATTTTTTAATACACCTAAGCCACTTTGATTAATGCTAGCGTCTCACAGGAAAAACTATCCACCGCCCAGTGTCCACATCTTGGCTACTTCAAAGTCAAGGAGCTAACAGTTAAGGTGCTGCCAAAGCCACAGAACAGGCTGTGAGCACCATCTTCTGGCAAAGCTGAGGGTGCAGTGTGGCTGTGTTGTGAAGAGGTTGACAGCCAGCCGTGCAGCGGTCATCGGCTGTTACAGCCCGGAGAAGACATACTGTGACTCCCAAGTCAAGGGCAAAGAGGTACTATTGGAGCACATACTTTCAGTATGTAATTGACTTTTTGGATCCTATTTATTTACCTAGCATCTGGAGGACCTTGCTAGTTACATAACAAAGGCCCCCAAAAAGGCAAACTGGTTAAGAAACACATGGGAGCATGGAGCTGGGCGTCTAGGTAAGATAAAAGAACGATGGTTGTGTTCCCTGCCAGAGTCGGAATAGTCACCGCTACGATGCCCTCTAACCGGGGCTGATGGGGAAACCCGGGGAGGGTGGCGTCTGCCCCCGAACCTCCACTGCGTGTTTCCGCTGTTCCTCACGAGGGCCAAGAGTCAATGCCTCGGCAACAAAATAATGCCAGCCTTAGGCAGGACTAAAAAGTCTCTGACGTTTGCCACGGGTATTCAAAACCCACTTATTTGCATGGTTTCTCCCATTTGGAACATCTGTTAATATCTCCCCTGTGTTCAGTGCCCAAAGCTTCTCCATATTTAATCATATCCAAGGTGGTTCTAAAAATAATGTTAAAGCCAATCACAATGAATTTTACATCACTGAAAAACTTATGATGCTATGCTACATATGGTTCTATGTATTTTGATTAGTAAATTCATAGAGCTGATTACATAAAGATACACCTCCTAAGCCGATGCAGAACCCTTTGGCCCCACAACATACCTAGGGACAAAGCACACTGTTACCAATTAGAGGGGCCACCTGTGAAGGGTGGGGGCTGGCAGGGTCCTGCTGACACCCACCTGCCCATTGGACTCTGTGCAGGGCCTGCCTGCCCTTGCTCTGGGCCTTGCCTCGGTTCTGGAGAGCACCCTGCCTGCCTCCCCTGCGCACTGGGCACCTCACTCATGCTCTGTCCCTCTGCCTGCACCACGCACCCTCACCCCAGCGTGGGCGACATCCTCGACTTGCAGCCCAGGTGCCCATCTTCAGGGAAGCCTTCCACCCCACACCACTAAACCTCCAGAGCACATGACCCATCCCAGCCTCCCCTTCAAGCCACTCAAGCCATGAAGGCATGAGGGGACACATTCGGGGTGGGGGAGCCATCGCCTGTGTCAAAGACAGTGTCATGCTTCCAGGAATTTTGTGAGATGGTTGGCCATCTGTGGGCAGGTTGCAATCAGCTGCGGTGGGAGCAGTTCTGCCACATCCGTGGGCAAGCACTACAGAGGAGGGCCTTCCTCCCAGGGCAAAGCCACGGCTGTAGGGAAAATCCCGGTACCTGCCTGCCTGCCTGTATCAGTGCTGGTGTGGGGAGAGCGCTCTCACCCCCTCTGGGACATGCAAATGGCTGAAGCCAGGCCCTTCCTTCCTTCCTTCCTTCCTCCTTCCTTTCTTCCATCCCTCCATTTCTTTCTGTCTTTCTTTCTTTTTTAAACAACACCCTTTTTTTTTGTTATGTGGCAGTTTCTGGGGGTCGGGAGTCTGGACACAACTTAGCTGGTCCCCTCGTCAGGCTCAGTGCAGGTGTGAGCCCGGGCTTGGTTTCCACGCAGAGGCTCTGTTGCTGAGGGAACCAGTGGCAGCCTCACCCTGGCAGTTGGCAGAACTCATTTCCTTGTTGCTGTACGCTCGTCTTGCTGAGACTGGCTGGTGGCTGCCCTCAGCTCCAACAAGCCTCCCGCGGGTCCCGGACATGTGACCCTCTCACAACGTGGCCGCTTGTTTCCCCAGTGCTCCAGGAGCTCCACCAGGTCCTCCCAGTGCATTTGTAAGAGGCAGCGGGAAAGAAGGAAGGTTCTTGCACAGGATGAAGCGTCTGAGAGCTTGACAGGGCACCCCCCTTCCTCCTCACAGTAACCCTGTAAGGAGAGGACAGTGGGGCCCAGAGAAGCAGAGTTACTTGCTCAAGGTAAACCAGCCAGGAGCAGAGGCAGGCACTGCTGAGAAGCACCACACTCCCCTGTGCAAATAGCTGCTCGGCTGGCTCAGGGAGGGAAGGGTGGGGCAGACACTCGGCCACATTCCCAGGATTCCAGGCATTGGGCTGCAGGGGGTGAAGGCTGGGCAGAACAGACTCCGCCCATCACTGACAGCTGGGACTCAGGGCAGGGCGGAACACCGGGTGGAGAGCAGTCCCGGGCGATGCTCCAGTGGGAGGGCCACTTGTCCGCGGCACTTCCATAAGGAACGGTGAAGCCGTCCTCTACAAGGCTGTGCTGGAGAGAGGACTTGCTGAAATTGAAGCTGTGTGTTTTACAATATGTGTTTCTTGCCTGAAACTTTGCCAAGGCGTGTTATTACGTTGGACTTTACTTTTGCATCTGACACCAGTGGCAGGGGGCCGGCGAGCAGCAGGCAGACGAGGTCTGTGTGACGGGAGGTTCCCCCACTCTGGAGGAGGAGGTATTTAAGGAAAGAAACCCATCCAAACATCTTGGCATCCCTGCCTTCCGCAAAGGCACGATGGCATTACTGGTGCTAACATTTCTGACAGTAAGATTTGCAGTAATTTTTACATCCAAGAGAGATCATAAAGCAACTTGCTTGGTTTTGCACTGAGAGTTGTTTCCTATAAACAGACTTCTGACTCCAGAGGGCGGTGGGCAGTCAGGCTTCTTGCTCACAGCCTCGGCAGGCGGCCGGCCTCTGACTTCCTGCGGTTCCCTGTCAGGGACCTAAGCCCTCCCGGGGACGGGGTGACTGACCCACGCGCTTTGTTCTTGGCCAAGCGCTCTCGCCTGCCCAAGCCACCATCTGAAACTGAAGTGCAGGCGTGTGAGAAACACGGGCCCGGCGGCGTCTGTGGTTCCTGAGCCTCTTCCACGTGCAGGTCTATGGAATTCTTCAATTTCAGAGCTTTAGTTGCCGTCAGGATGACGCACAGAACCCCCTCACCCAACCCTACGAAGTGCCCCTTTTAGCGAGCATGGAAATAAAGATGAGAACAATGTCTCGACCGACCCCTTTAGACAAACTAAGAACAAAGAAGGTCTTGCTCCTGAGGTGCGGCCTGACTGCGCTCAGGAGGCCGACAGATTTAATGTCAAAGTGTGGTCTCAACCCCAACTCTCATTTTTAGAAAGCCTGTGAGCCTCTTCATTTCATTTTCTTACCCTCACAGGACGTCTCGTTGAAGACGCTGTCCTGGGGCTTGTGGCAGGTGAGGGTGGGAGACCCACATTCTCCGAGGGGCTGGGACATGGCCCCAGAGTGAAGCCAATCTGCTCAGGCCGGACACTGCCCTTGGCACTGGCCAGGAAAGGGATGGAGGGACCAGCACGTGCAGCGTCCACCATCGTGCGTGGACTGGGTGGGAGCACAGTGACAGCACCAGTGGAAAGCCTACCCCAGCTCTCCTCTTCCCCACAGAGAGAGAGACTTGGGCCCGCCAATGGGCTGATTGGTACCGGGGACAGGCGAGCCCAGAAACGCCAGAGCGGCCCCTTCCTCTCTGTCACCACACAGGTCTGGGCGGCGGCCCTCACTTACGGAGGGCAGAAGGCGGCTGTCCCCGGAACAGGCTTCGGAGGCGACCGGGCACACTGAGCAGAAGGCAGTGGGAAGTAAGCGAGGATGCCCCCTCCACCCCGGGGCAGGTGCCACCAGCGATGTTCTTAGCATTAAAGTGGTGGATGAAAATTTTTGGTTTTGTTTTGTTTTAAGCATGGGGATCATTTTCAGAGCATCAGAAAATTGTGAGCCAAGCCCCCCATTCCCTACACACACTGACTGAGGAAGCCACGATCACATGACAGGGCCACTGATGGTGCTGCAGGAATGTAAAGACGCAGGTCACAACATACAGGCGTGATCCTTTCACCAGGTAAGCACACGAGGCACTGGGCGGGAGGGCGGGAAGCACCACCACACCCGACCTGCCTGGGGCAGCCCGTGGGGCCGCTGGCCCCGCCTGCAGCTTTCAACACAATGGCCAGAGCAGAGCTCAGCGCTCGGAGAGGTAACAGGGTGTCAGCTCCGGGGGGCCCAGGGGTGTGGGCCTCTCAGGTTCACTCTGTAATCCTCAGCAGGCAGAGCAGGGCGCAGCACAGACCAGTGCCCCACACAGGGCTGTGACGGCATGGGGAGGTGGGTTCCAGTCTCTATATAAACCCTAAACTTGGTTTATCTGACTAGAGTGATTTTTAAGAGAAACTCTGGAGCACGGAGAAAGGATCTGCCACAAGCCAGGCAGATGACGAGGCGGCGGCAGCAGGATCAGCGTCCACCGTGGACGCACAGAGACTAGGTCCCAATTTCACAGAAACCCTAGATGAAACAAGAAGCAGCGGTCCATTCTCAATTACTCCTCTTCATCTTGCTTCACTTCTTCATTTCCTCCTTTTTGAAGGTCTTTTTTTTTTTTAAGCATAAAGATAAATGTTAAGATGCCAAACTACACCATGAACCATCCTCTGGAAGTCACAGCTTCAAGTCAGTGCACTTCCAAGCTGCCCTGCCAACATAGGTATACAGTGGCATCAATAAGGGGAATCCCTGCCTCTGCATCCGAGCCTGCTTCCGGGGGCCTCCCCACCCCTGCCACCAACGGCTGTTTGAGCTCATTTCTGCACTGTGCAGGGCAGGGCAGGTCCAGGCGAGCCAGTACCCCCCCCCCCCCGCCCACCCCCAAGTCTTTCACACTTGAACTTCATCCCTGACGGCAGGCAGGGGCCATGACTTTCCACACCAGGAAGGGACTGTAGGGGAGAGGTAGGACAAGGGCCGACAGTGAACCCAGCCACGGTAAGGGCTTGGTTAGGGGACAGAGCTGGACCCACATCACCTGCTACAGGAAGAAGAGAGGCCTGCTGCTGTTTCCCACCCCCTCCCCCAGGATGCAGTGTAGAAGGTGAAGCTCCATCCTTGACAAGGTATCTCCATCTAGTGCCACGCACTGCACATGGATAAGAGACCCAATCTGCCAAACCAGATCCCTTGCGGTTTTAAGTCTGGGGCTTCATTTTCACAATTAGGGAGATAGACATTACAAAGATGGATCCTAAAATATGAAATATTCTGCTTTCTCATCAAAACTAAGAGGCACAAACCCATAAACATTAATTCATATGTTTGAGACTAATTTTATATTACTAAAATCTTGCTTTCACAGAGTTCCAGAGAAACTAAGCAACATGAAATTTTTAAATACTTAAATGTACTTGTCCTATAACACCCCACTGAGATCCCACTCCCCCGGTGACCCCGATGCTGTCTTTCCTACTTGTCAGCCAGCATTCAGCCCTCGGCACAATGAGCCCAGGGCTGACCACCCTCTCTGTGGCTGACCGGGGACACTGCCTCTGGGCAGTCACACAGCAAAACTGAGCAACATTACACAGCCACCAGCCCGACCCCTGACCTGACGGGGCTTTCAGGGTTTCTCAGCTGGAGCCATTAATAGGCAGTGAATTGCAGCGTGTCCCCACAGAAGGTATTACATGGCAGAGGAGGTGATCTACACCCATCTGTAATGACCCATCTGGATAACTGTAGAAATCCAACTGGGAATGAAAAAGTCCCAGAAGATTACTACAGCACAATTATCTTTTCATAACTATAAACAGAACTACAATAAGGTATTTCTCGGGGTATGTACGAGATCTGTCTGGAAACTATCTAGCCATGCACTATGAAAAATAGAAACATTAATTGAAGAAACATTGTACAATGATGCCTCAGTCCCCTTCAAAGTAGGCGCTTTGGGAACTTGCACAGTTCTCCCAATCGTCACCAGCTGCCCCATCGTATTTCCCTAAGTCTCATCGATGCTCTGAAATCTCTTGCCTTTCAAAGGTGGTTTTTGTTTGGGGAAAAGCCAGAAGTCATGGGGCACCAAATCTGGGCTGTAGTGGGGCTGAGTCACCTCAGTGATTGGATGTTTCACCAAAAAACTCTGCACAAGACGTGATGCATGAACGGGCACGGTGTAGTGATGAAGCTGCCGACCCCCAGCTGCCCAGAGCTGCAGCCTCGTACATCATCCGACCAGGTTCCACAGAGGAATGTTCAAGCTTAACACAAAATCTGATGCAGATTTATTGTTCTACTCGCACAATCGTTTTGAATGCGACAGCCACACAGTACACATGCTCACTTGATGACATCTAGCGCCCCCACCGACTAGAAAGTGAAGTCATCATTATTCACAATGCACATTCCAGTCCACTCTCCTTGGCTACAGGTTATATCAGTGTCGCACAAACTGTTGTTATATTAACAGTGGCTGGACTTCTTCTGGACAGACCTCGTATATGTGATAAAGGGGAGTGTGACAGGCAGGAGAGCCTGCCTTTGCGGGGGGGTGGGTTACTGTCAGCGCCAGTGATCATGTCAAGTGGTATTCCGTAAAGGAATTTTTAAAAATTAAAACTGAATCAAAGAGGCTCATGCATGGACCCATGATGAGTGTGAACCAGGAAGTGACTGACCTCCTAGGCTCACAAACCCCTCACCTCGGAAACAGTAGGGTCATCTGGGTCTTCACTCCTAAGTCCTTGGGTCATACTCTACCATCAGCAGAGCTGTACTGTACCTGTTAGTTACTAATAATAGATTTTAACTGAAGTATAAAATAATTCTGTGCTTCTCTCCACAGATTAGGAGAACAGGTGTTATCTTTGCCAAATGATGTGTAGTTTAATAGAAAGTCATTGATGCATTTTTTTCTAGAACCTAAATACAGTTTAACAGCACCCATATATTTTATCTACTGCTGACATCTTTCGGTGCGTTGGGAACAAGGTGCTAACCAACTGAGCTACCTGGCCAGGGCTACTGTTAACATCTTTTAAATTGAGATATTCATAAGTATTCAACTTCTGTAGATTAAAATAACCATAATCCTGAAAATACATTAGGTATCTGAAAAACATTGCTTTTCTGAGACAAAGTCACTAAAGTAATGTGATTGCTTCAGTCACTGAAACACCTAAGTTATTTTTCAGGCAGGCCTACAATTACACAGAATTATCAATACGCTATTTCTGGGTACATACCCCACCAAGCATGCTACATCCAAGTGCTAAAAACTTCATCCATTCAATCTTGTGTTCACAAGGATCCAACTGCAGGATAGCTCTGAATTTTTCGACTGGCAGGCACAAATTTTTCCATTTCTGCTCAAGGTCAGCTAATTCCACATATTGCTTGTGGCTACACTGTTTAGAAAACACAGTATAGTTTATATAAGCTTTAAACTCCACAAAATAATATGATGCTGTGAATACTTGAACATACCCCAACTGGCCAACCCCACGCAGGGACCGGGGAACTCGGAATTCACGACCCAGTTAGCCCTGGGGAGGGAAGGGGGGGTGCGTGCAGCGGGGGAGACGCACGTGCGGGGAGGGGACAGCGAGCTCGGCGACACCTCACTTCTCAAGCAAGGACCGTGAGGCAAACGTGGCCCAGCACTGTAACCTCATAAACCGGGCGCGCTGATACTGGGTGCATGATTCTCAGTCTACCCGAAATACTTCACGATAAAAATGAACTTCGATAAATAAAAACACTTAAAATCCACCCCCAAAATCATGGCAACAGTTACAGGGGAGAAATCTTGAGACTGAAAATAAACTTATACCTCCTGCTATTTTAAAACATGGGTCGCTTTAGTGACCTGCTAGTACTGCTCTGCGTGTAAAGCCTTGGGCAATACTGGCATGTCTTTTCCCAAGCTACCCCCTTTCAATGGCTATTCATTTCCCCTTACCTCAAAATCTAAAATGAGCACTATGCTGTCTGTACACCTGAAACTAACATAATATTGTATGTCAACTGTAATTTAAAAATAAAAAATTATCTTTAAAAATGTGTAATGGGGACCAGTCACTTTAAAAATCAAGTTTCTACCCTTAGTGTTGTTTTTAGCAACAGGACCCAAGGAGGACACTGTTGTATTCAGTGCCTCTCTCTAGCTGAAAGAACCCAAAATATTTGCTCAGGCTTAGATCGTAAAAAAGTGAAGTGTAATTTCTTTTAAATACCAGATTAAGATGCTTAGATGCTACAAGACTGAAATAAAAGTCTAAAAATGTAGAACGCAGAGCCCCAAAGCTGGCCGAGTTCTCCTGAACTGGTTCCTTTAAAAGCCAGCAGGTGGGCAGGGAGGAGACTCACTCGGGGCTGCCAGGGCGGGGCCAGGCCCAGGCTGTCTGGAGGGCTGGACACCAGCCCTCCCCCCAACCCCCTCCCCCAAACCCCTCCCCAGGACAGCCGTCCTCCACTCCATCACTTCAGCACACACACAGCTTCCATGCACACACCTTCCCAATGTGGCTCCCATGTCTCAAATGTCATATTTTCACATTTTTAGACTTTTATTTCAGTCTTGTAGCATCTAAGCATCTTAATCTGGTATTTAAAAGAAATTACACTTCACTTTTTTACGATCTAAGCCTGAGCAAATATTTTGGGTTCTTTCAGCTAGAGAGAGGCACTGAATACAACAGCGTCCTCCTCAAGTGAAACTCCAAGGGTTCTGGCGGGGAAAGCACCGTGCAAGGATGCCGGCGGTGGTGGCTTCCGCCAGGCACTGGCGGACGGCAGGGCTTTTGCTCAAGTTAAGCTGGCTGGTACTACAAACCCTCTGATACCTGCTTGTGCAAAACTTTCAGCAGCCCTTGAGTCAGGCCGGTGTCTGTTTTCTGAGTGGCCACGGGCATTTCAATTCTGTCCTTTACAGGAAGTGGATCTCCTCTTGACAAAGCTGAAAAATACCTAACAAACAACAGAGATCTCTGAAGACCCAGCAATACACAAAAAGCATATCAGTTAACAATTCGTGCACTTTCTTAAACGAACACTGCGCCCAACAGTGATCGGGGAGTAAAGCGCTGGAGTCTGAAGGCGCAGGTCGGTCCCTACTCCTCCACTCAGCTCCCCTACTGCCCGCCCCCTCCGCTGCCTGTCTCTCTGTCTGCAAGCCCAGGACAGCGACAGTGCCTTCTGGGCCTTGCCATTTTTCCAGGGGCTGGAGGGCAGCCTTCGCTGCCCATTCGACTCTAAGGCACGCAGGTCGGGGACGCCCTCGATCTGCGCCACCGGGAAGGGTTGCGTCACTGTGCTAAGGCAGAGGCTGCCCCTCCCCTCCCTTCCACTCTTCCTGCCTGGTTTGTTCTTTTGTTTATTTTTCTAGTATTTTTCCCTTAACTGCTCCTTTCTGGACCCCAAATATTGCTGCTTATATGGGTGACAAGAAAGGACACAGAAATGTTTGGGGCAACAAGTGAAGAGAGGACACACACCCAGCCTCTGGCTGGGGGGAGGGAGGCGGAGGAGGGCCAGGCGGGTTCTTCTGCAAAACTCACTTCCCTTCGGGCCAGCGTGCTGGAGGTGGCCGCAGGTGATAGTTTAAAAGATATGAATAATTAGAAACATCTCTGCATATGTAATAAAACGTAGATAAGAAGACAGTTGATAGGCTAAAACAAATTTTATATTCTCCCCTTTCTCTCCACCCCTCAGATTCAACTTTGCTTTCACGCTTTTAAGACAACTCCAGTCATCTCCCGTTTGTTTAATGGTTTGAGGGAGAATCAAAACAAGGCAGCGGAGAGTCGGACAAATGCGGACCTTGAGACCTAAGGTGCCAGGCTGACGGAGGGGTGTTTAGCTTTGTTCCTAATTAGGGTTTTCGCCTGCCTCACGGACTTTATTCTTCACAGCCTACCAAATCCGACCCGAGCTGGATGGAGCCTGCAGAACAGTGGTTCTCAGCAGGGGGCGATCTGGGTCCTCCCCCTTCCTGAGAAGGCGCTGACAGTTCCCAGGGATATTTTGGTTGTCGCCACAGGTGGTGGATGGTGTTACCGCCATCTAGTGGGTACACACTAGGATGCTGCTAAGGATCCTATACCCCCACCTCTCTCTAACCCTCAAAATGGTCCCCACCATAGTGTCAAGTGAGCCAAGACTGGGAAAGCCTGCATTAGTGACAAGACCAGCCTGTGTTACGCTCTGCTAGTTCCCCGGAGGCATGTGTGAGCGAAAGTAGCCTTTTAGCGCTCAACCAATTCTGGCTTCCATCCTACTGCGTGATGCACAATTGCTCGATGACACAATAAGGCACAGCCAACTCACTGTGACATCACAGCAAAGTACACAGGCTGGGGGGCAAGGCTGTATGTCCTACCTTTGCCGCTGGTAAATCCCATTTGAAAAGAATGCTAACCTGAACGTGCACTTGAGTCCTCCACAGCAGTTACTTCCATATGCACCCTGGTTTCCTGCTCTCTTTTTATTTTTTATTTTGTTCTTTTCGACACAGGCCCTTTGTTCACATGCTGTGTCCTCATCTTGGAATACCAATCTCTGCCTACGAAATCTTTCAAAGACCAATTCACCTTCTTCTGAACAACATTCTAACAGATTCTGTGCTGGGACACCTCCGAGTCCACTACACACACATTGCTTAATGAGTGATGCTCGTCTTTTCTCCTAAATTCTGAACTTAGTTCCATGGAACATTCAGAAAGTTCTCAATTAAGTCTTTTAAAGGGAAGCTTAAAGTATTAGTTGTCTCTAAAGCATTACCAAATATAATTTAATGTTCCAAGAAAGTTATTAAACCTTAGAATGTTGTAGAGTACCAATAAATCTTATGAGTCCCAACTATCTTTTATTTAGGCCATGATTTTTCTGGGCAAAAACCTTTGGAGAATATTTCAGAAGCAATTGACAGAAGTGTTTGTCAGAAAGCAAAGCACCAGGTACACAAGCAGGAGCCTCGTGTGGGAGGTTCAGTGAGGGCCCCAGAGACATCCATGTCCTAATCATGGAAACTGTGGGTCTTATTTTGCATGGTAAAAGGAACTTTGCCTGTTATGTAAGGATTTGGAGGTGGAAAAATTACACTGGGTAAGCTGGATGGGTCCTAAATGCAATTGCCAGTGTCCTTAGAAGAGGCAGACTTGAAGATGCCATACTGCTGGCTTTAAAGACAGAAGAAGAGGGCATGAGCCAAGAATCCAAGGAATGAAACTCTAGAAGCTGGGGAATCCCAAAGATGGACTCTCCCTCCAACCTCCAGACAGAGCAAGGCCTTGCCAACATCTTGACTTTAGCCTGGTGAAACTGATTTTGGACTTTGAGCCACCAGAACTTTAAGAGAATAAATGTGTAGTTTTAAACCATCAAATTCTGTGCACTAGTCATAGGAAACTAATTCACCTTGGTTATATAGTTTAGAGGTCAGCAAAATTTGATATGCTAGTTACTAAAACATTTTGGTTGCTTTTATACTGATTCTTATGAGCATAAAATTGAGCTTCTAAATTTGTTGAAAAAGGGTAAAGAGTTTTCCTGTAAAATCAAAAGGGTTTATTTTAATGGTTCTAAGGTCTGTTGACTTGTAACTTTAAAATTAGGAATGACTGTTTCTGGAAATAGAAAGCTTGCCACAAAAACTTTTGAAAGCTCAGTTGCTGTCAACTAAGCTGGACAGAGTTGAGCCTTATGACAGCCTTGGGCTGAGAACCCCAACAGGACTTCGGTCGTTCCGAGTCAGCCAGTACCTAGCCCTGGGAGGATACCCTGAGGAGGAGGAACATGGCCACAAGATTCCCTCTGTCTGTAATTGTGTTACCACAATGAAGAAACTTTATACCCCAAGCAAATGCTTTCTAAATTTTACTCTATCTGCGTAAACATCACTCTCCAACAACAGAACTGTTATTACTCTGTAGATAAGTGAGCATTGTGCAGTAATTTCTAGTCCCATAGTCAATAAACCACGATGCTTCCTAGATAGATACTTAGGTGTAGGTAGCACCGATGCTAAAGTGAAGTCTTGCCGATACTCTAAGCGTTCTGGGAGTGGGACCACCGCTCCAGAAAGGAGGATTCACTAGCTCGCCTAGGCACGCGGACCGCGGGCTTTCTCAGGCACTGGTCCGGGGTACTTACCCCGCGGACCACTGCAGCACGTCCGCGGGCTGGGTGCGAATCGCTGCCTTGGTAAATTGCTTCAGGATGTCGGGTAGTTCCGGGGGAATGTGGATCTGCTGAGCGCAGAACATGGTGTCGGGAAGCGGCATCGCTCTCCAAAGATCAGGATCAGGTTGGAAAGATGAAGGTGTGCTGCGCCGGAGGAAAGGCGGAGAGTTGCCCGTCTGCCCTCCCCCAGGTTTGGACCCTGGCCAGGGTAGGTAGTTTGGGGCGGGACCGGAGTCCGTAATCTGGGTCCGGGCCGGGGTCTGGGATTTGGGATTCGCAGAGAGGCCGGTTTCGAAGGGCCAGGACCGCGGGGATCCTACCCGCTCTTTCTCAGGCTCCTCGAAAAATGAGGGCCAACCGCCCCCTCTAGCGGCCAAGACCCAGCTGCACCGGACCGCAGGCCGGCGCTATTGTTGCGCAGCAGTAACCAGGCAACCGGGACGCGCGCGCGGCCCCGCCCGCTAACGCTGCGCACGCGCACACGCCTCTGGCTGGAGGTGGGTTGTTGCCTGTGGGTTGTCCAGGAGGCAATGCGCGTGCGCAGCCTGGTTTCGGCTCCACTGCAAGAGCTGATCGTTCCGTTTAGGAGAGGAGAGCCTGCTAATCGCTTTCCCGCTGCCGACAGTGAGAAGCGAATTCACAAAGGCCACCTCCACCCCCCTTGCTCTAGCAACTGGAAACTTAAGGACGGGGTGACTCGGTTTCTCCTTTTTTGGAAACCGTTAAAGTTACGAGGGGTGATCCGTGCAGTCAGCGTGAGCCTCCCTGAAGGAATCTGGCCCTTGCCTTTCTCAACTGCCTCGTTCATCCTGCACGGGCCCCTGGCAGCTTGTCCAAACGACGTGGAAGTGTCGGCGCCTTGAAGCGCTTGCTGTTCTTGTTGCCCCGTTGTTTCCCCTTAGTAAGCTCATTCTTCAGATCTCAGTTTATTAGTTACTGAAGAGTTTAGACAGTGGGTAGTTTCCAGCCAAAAGATTCTGTTTAACTTGGTTTCCCAAAGTAGGGTGGTTGAGCCACTCTGGGTGTAGGAGAAAATAAGCCACCTCTGATTGAACCACTTTAAGTGGAAGGATAGAAGAAATTGTTCGGTCCTGGCGGGTGCTGATCAGGGCAGCATAAAAGCAGCCTGCCCTGGCTGGCGTCCTTCAGTGGATTGAGCATGGGCTCTGAACCAAAGCATCATAGGTTTGATTCCCAGTCAGGGCACATGCCTGGGTTGTAGGCCACAGCCCCCAGCAACCGCACATTGATGTTTCTCTCTCTTTCTCCCTCCCTTCCCTCTCTGAAAAATAATAATAATAAATAAAATCTCTCTAAAAAAAGGTGTGAACCCTGGTTTAGGGGACATCCTGGCTGGCTGCTTCAACTGCCCCTGACACCCATACTGAAGAAAAGAGGCCCCGAGACCCACCTACCCTTGCTTACCTCTGGACAGGAAGATGGAGAATGAGAGTGATCTATTTCCAGGAGGGTCCAATAACAAACCCTCCTTCCTTCCCTAAAGTCATCAAGCCCCAACCATGACTCCTCTACCTGGCCAACGTGTCCACCAAATAAATACACGTTTTCAAATTAACAGCTTTAGCAAAAACTGAAAATAGTCACTAATGTTGAGGACGATATGGGAAAACAAGGTATCTCATACAATTTTTGAGAGAGGATTGTAAATTAGTACATTTGGGGGGCAATTTGGCACTTGAAAATTTTTTGATGACTTAGCAATCTTACTTCTAGGAATTTATCCTACAGAAATTCTAGCCTAAGTATATGAAGTAAAAGGGACAAAAATGTTTACCACAGCATATAATAAAATGGGTTAACTGATTCTTTCAGAAAAGTTAAACCATATTCTTATCCACACAATAGAATACAAGTTAGAATTTTTCAGTGGGGTATCTACTTAAGTGCTGACGTAAGATGTTTGTAAAATATACAGTGAAAGAAAGCACGGTGTAGAGCAGTCTGTGGAGCACTCTCCTGTACTTTGATCAAAGGGTCTGTGGGTGTGGGTTTATACACAGAGACGGTCTGGGAGCATATGCTAAACCACTGACGGTGGTTACCTCTGGAGAATGACACAGGGCTTTCTGGTTTCATTTTAATCATAATACATTATTTTGATTCTGATTTATTCATTTACTTAACCATGTTGAATACCAAATATGTCCCAAGGACTGTTCTAGAATACAGTAATACTTCCCAACTAGTTTTATTTTTGTTTTTAATCTCTGGCACTTACACCCAAGTGAGGGAAAACATGCAATATCAACAAAAATAAATAAACCCTATATTAATAGATATGAGAGAAAAAATACAGCAAAAGAGACAGAATGCCTCACTAAAAATGATGCTTCAGTAAAAAAAAAAAAAATGAGGTTGGGGAAAGCCTGGATAAAGAACATTAAGGCATGGCAAACCGCGAAAGCAAAAGGTCCTGAGGTTTGACCTATTCTAGAAAAGGGAGGCTGGAGCAGTAAACACAGAGTGTGATATGTCAGAGAGGGTGTGGACTTATGAAAAATTCTGTTCTGATTGATTCTATCTTCTCAGTGAAACAGGAATAAAAGTCATCAGCCAAAAATGAGAAAGGGGAAGAAAGCGGCACTTTGAGGGGGAAAGGTATGAAACAGTCCAATAGGGAGCAGATATGAACACGGTATTACTTTTTGAAATTGAGGTGTATTTAACATGCAATAAATTGCATAAATTTGAAGTGTACGATTTGTTTTGACATACGTAGATATGGCCATACCAGGACCCCATCAAGATAGCGAACACAACATCCATAGCCCCCATTTCATCATCCCCCTGGAAATCCCTCCAAGTTCCTCCTCACCACCCCCACTGATCTTTCTATAGCTTTCTGTTGGTTACTTTGCATTTTCTAGAATTTTACATAAATGAAAGTATTCAGTAAATTTTTGGTCTACTTTCACTTAGCATAGAGATTTGTGAATATTGTATATATCAATAGTTATATTGATATAACTTGCTGTTCATTGTATGGATAATCATTTACCCATTCACCTGTTAATGAGCATGTGGATGCTTTAGGCTATCACAAATAAGAGTACTATGAACACTTGTGTACAAGTATTCACATGAACTTGTTTTCTTTTCTTGGTAAACAACTAGGAGTGGTGAGTACATATTTTAACCTTTTAAGAAATGCCCAACTATTTTCCACATTAGTTGTACCACTTTCTATTCCCTCCAGAATACAAGAGTCCAAGTTCCTCCACACTCTCACCAACAAATGGCACCATCACTATTTTTAAGTTTAGCCTGATATGTGGTGATATCACATTGTGGTCTTTAACGTGCATTTTCTGAATGACTAATGATGTTGAACAGCTTTGCATGTATTTCCCATCTGTATACCATCTTTAGCCTTTTTAAATATTCTGCCCATTTTTTAAATCAGCAAATAGGTTTTCTTACGATAGTATTTTTAAATTTCTTTATTCTGAATGCATGTCCTTTATCAAAAAAATGTTTGGCAAATATTTTCTGCCACTCCATGGCTTGTCTTTTTGTTCTCTCAACAGTATGTTTCAAAGAGCAGACAATTTCAATTTTGATAAAGTCCATTAAATTTTTCTTCTATGGATTGTGCTTTTGGGGTTGTATCTAAATCCGTGACTAACCCAAGGCTGAACATTTTTCTTTTTCTTCTTCTACAAGTTATATAGTTTGGAGTGTTATATTTAGGACTCTAATTCATTTTCATTATTGCATAGAGATATGGATCAATTTTTAATTTCACACTGGGATGTCCCATTATACCAGCACCTTTTGTTTGGCTTTCATAACTTTGACAAAATCAGCCATCCATATACGTGCAGGTGTGGGTCTCTTTCTAGACTCCGTTCTGCTCCATCAGACCAATGGATTTGTGCAGTTAGCAGAAGGGGTTCATCCGTTTAGGCAAAAAAACAAAAAAGTGAATGAATGAATGGGCTTCATGAATGAAGCTTCTTATCCTACATTAGCTCCTGAACAAACAAGAAAAACACAACATCTACCTATGTTACCTATGTAACATTTCAGAAAGATGATTAAACAATATGAAGCGCAAGGGACCTCCACCCCAGTTCCTGTTGACTGAGTAGGGCAAAGTGTGGGAGTGAGCGGAAGCAGACTGCAGGAGGTTGAAAGAGGAATTATGGGGGTAGGGGGAGTACCTATATATACAAAATAATAATTAAGGACACACCTAGGTCATCACAGAATCCCCTCCAGGCAGATCCTTTGCGTCTCCTGTGGCATTTTATTACTATCTCTAATACAGCCTTTGCTCCTTTTTCTGTTCTTTTCCACTCGAAGTGGACTCCTTGAAGGCAGACCCCACAGTTCATTCAACTATGGTGTTAAGTACAGTGCAGGGGAACAAAACACACACCAGAAAAGCATGGGGTGGGGGCAGGGGAAGTGGTTAAGAGAAGAGAATGTTACCTCCTCAGACCCTTAACCCACTTCTGGCATGGGTTCTGTTTGCAACGAGACAGGCTGCACTACAGGGTGGGAAGGGGGATTAATGGTCACTTTCTGAGACTCACCATGCAATCTCACTTGTGTAAAATTTCAACTTCATAGATTAAAGATGCTCTACGGTTCAAATAGCATTTTGCCTACCATCACATTTAAAATAAGTATGTACTTGATTTTAAAAAATCATAGAAAAAAATTTAACCTAAAAACAGAAAAATTAGAAAGGGATCTCTTCATACAGGACACTCAGCAGGGAAAAAAATCCACGTGCAGCCCTTTCCTTTCTGAGACTTACGGGCAACTATGTAAAATGGATTTGGTTGGGGTTCCTCTACCCAAGTATCCCCCTGCAAGAGGCAACCTGGTGAAGCCTCAACGTTCAGATCTTGTAGCTGAGGCACAGAGGTGGGCGGCACAAGACAGAGGGGCTTTACACCTTTGAGGTGAAGATGGTCTATAATTACAGTGAGGGGCAGAGGAGAGGAGGGTTGTGTCCTCTGCAACTATCACTTTAAATTTATGCTTAGAACAGAGAGGCTATAACCACAAGTAACTTCAGTGAATTCTTCTTCTTCTTCCAGTTACGTTAAAAAATACCTGAATAATCTACTTATGCTAGTAATACACATTTCTGTGATTCTGAAGCAATCTTGCAATAAAGCAAAAACAAACCAAAAAAACTAGGCTACAACTAACGTTCACTTTATTCAGTTTTGTTCTCTCAACTTAGAAGACAACAAATGACCACATAAAAAGGGGAGCATTTTAGAATATATACATGAAAT